TGATCTTCTGACAGCCCTGGAACAATCAGTACCAGCATTTCTGGAAATTTGAGAATTCCAGTAACTATCAACCCAGATTGTGGCCAGGATGGAAATTTACTGCTGCCTAAAGTCAATCATTTCCCAATCCTATAAACAGCAGTCCCAACTGAAGTCCTTTGAGCTCTCCTGGACTGCAGCAGCCTGCACCTAGCATCTCTCTCTGAGTGGGATGCCTCTCAGAGCTCACAAACTCTCAAGTTTGCAAAGTTCAGAAGACTGCCACCAAAGACTGACGATGGGACCTGGGCTGAAACCCCCACTCCTGGAGGCTTAACCCTCGCCTGCTGAGAAATGCAAAGGCATTTGACATGAATATTTCACTGAATTGAAGCGGGATTTTTAACAGGTATACTTTTATATCTCTCTCTCTCTCTGTATCTGTCTCTGGGTGTGTATGTGATTTGCCCTTTTGATATATATAACCATTAATCAAGTTCGAGACTAGGAATGGATTCAGCCACACCTAGACTCCTCTGAATGGGAGTCTGGAAAGCAAGGGGGTCTGCTCTGAACCTCGTAACTCAACAGGAGGGTCTTGTCATCTTTCCTTGTACCCAACACCTTCAGACATAAACTGTTGGTCAAGTCTGAGGAGTAGATTCAGCCACACCTAGACTCCTCTCTGAGAAGGAGTTTGGAAAGCAAGGAGGTCCACTCTGAACCTCATGACTCAACCAGAAGGTCTCCCTCACCTTCTTTCCATAATCCCTATATAAATTACGACAACCTGCTTCTGACTCGATTTCCCTCATCCCATGTAAATCATTTCCCCCAATCCATGTGTAAATCATTTTAACCCAATTCTGATTTGATTTCTCTTTGTATGCTTTTTCTATGTTGAATAAGGGATAGAATGAACCTTGCCATCTAATTCTGTTACGTCATGCTTTTTAGAAATTCATATTAAAATCTTTTTTTTTTTTTTCTCTCTAGTACCCCTTGGTGGTGATTCTTTAAGTGGCCTAAACCACACATTTATGACACCCAGTCTCCAGCTCTAGTCTAGACTTTGACCAGAAGCCTAGCACATCCCTCCAGTCAGTGCACATGGTGCTCACCGGAGTTTGTAGAACAAGCGTTTAGTGTTACAATGTATGAAGTGTGGCATGACCTTCCAACTTGCTAGACCATACACAGTGAAATCCAAAGAAAGATGAAGAGATCTACCTCTCTTGGAAACGAAATGGAGAGGAATGTTCAATATCAAAGAAACAGGAAATGACCCCTTCTTTTACTTAAAATTTAAAAGTATCTGACTTGCATTTTCACCCATACAATACTAATATGCTTTTAAATTGGAAGAAGGGAGAAAAGCAGTAGGGAACATGGTCTGGCAAGTCATTTCCACTCACTGTTTCCTTATTTAGGAAGTAGAAAGAAAGGGCTATAACCAAAGGAAAAGCAGCTTTTGCCAGACTAGCACTCTCACAGCAAAAATACTCTTTACTATTTGCTTTTACCTTGAATAATAGCGTGTCAGAGTCTTGAAAAAGCTGTTAAGAACAGATGTGAAATTTCAGACACCTACTGCAAACATTGTTCTTAAATCTATTTATATTTCTTTTCCAATATGGTAAAATGCAATCTTTTGAACAGCTTTAACTACCAGTTCTGTCTAGAAAGAGAGTCAAGGTAATCTCACCGCTTCTCAGGAACTGAGCTACTCCCAGAGCAACAACCACCCAGCCCAGCCATGCACTTCCCAACCGCTGAGTATGCTCCTCTCCTGCCCCAAGCTTGAAGGCTTGGCTCAGCCTGGGGACATTAGGGATCAAATGTATTTTCCATAGCATGCTTCAGATAAGGTCTCTTTTGTGAAACAATAGCAGAGGAAGCAGAACATGCAAATCTAAAAAGACATAATATACTTGTAATCATCCTCCTGCAATGCTAAGTGCCCAAAAGTGAGAAAGTAAATAATGAAAAACCATAAGCAAGGCATATGTTTTTTTTGGATGCATGTTACATCTCCAGTCATTTGTTAAGTCCTTACTTAAAATAAACCTTACCAGACAAACAAAAAACCCCAACAACATTCCAGGGTACACTTTTTCCCCAGCAAAGTTTCTGATATACTGCAACAATAAAACAATGACCTAATTTTTTGAGTAATGCAAAAGCCCCAAAAATTAGTAATAACTGATTTTTCAAGTCTTCTCTTAAAAAGCTAATGTGTTATTAGCAACAGAGCTGAAGTTTCTCTTTCCAGAGAATTATTTTCAAGCAAACAGAGTTCCTGTAATCAGTGTATGACCTCTGAATGGTCCAGACATTACAACATATTCTGTCACTGATACTAAACCATTTCATTTTTAAAACTCAATTTAAAAGGTTTTGGATTTTTTCTTTCTATTCAGAAAGAAATACTTTCTGAATCACATCAGGAACCTTGTTCTGCACTTAGTGAAAGCGAAGCATTATTGATATCAATTCTGTTTATAACCAGTGCTTCAATGAAAAATGGCAAACAGAAGATGAGTGTAAGGATGGGAGCTTACACAATTATTGGTGAAAAAGTACTATAGATACTGTATGCATACAAATCGTAGAAACCACTTGAAAAAAAACCTGAAATGACAGCTAGGATAAATACAACGTATCATACAACAGCCTGGCAAATATTAAACATTTAAGAGTGAACTTTTAATTTTACTTTTCTGTGTCTTGCAGCCAACAATTTAATACTCTTAAATACCCTACTAACACCTTTAACACTACAGCAGTTCTGTTTTACAGATTCACATCACAGATAAGTTTGAATGCACAAACCAGGTCAAATTTTACTACACATTTTTTTAAAAACAAAATAAAGATATAGCATTCACTTTATATTGAATCATTTCAAAGTATTCATTATGCCTTCAGAAAAGAAAGGCCATTAGCTGATATTTTGTAAAGCTATAAACATCTGGGAAAAAAAAACAGCACAATGCATAATTGCACAAAAACAAAAAGAAGAAGGAATATATGCCAAAATACCTCTGGGAAAAAGGGACCTACCACAACTCATGCTGGATTATGTTTTTCCTGTACAAACTCACCCAACTGTAGTAAATTATACCCAATAGGTAACCGCTCTATTTTCAGGTCCCACTCACAAGGTACCCTACCTCTGATTTGCTTTCATTTCTTTTAAGCTTTCACAGTCTTCTCTTCCAGATTTTAAAGCTAATTTTCTTGCTTTTTCTACTTCCTTTTCTTGGAGACTGTTTCCCAGTTTTGCCTTCCCAGCAATTACACCACTCAATAATAAAATTGAGGAAAAAAAAAAACAAAACAAGAAACTATGGCTGAATATCACGGAGTCACTTAAACAGGGAAATGTGCTTTTAAACCTATTCACCACAAGCTCTTCTCTTCATACATATCTTTGAAAACTTCTTTCACATATAAACTCTCAAAATCTTAAGCTGTAAACAACAGTTTGGATCTACAAGAATTTTACATTTTCAAATCTATTGCGGTATCATTACCAGGGCATGTTATAAGGGACCCATAAAGGGCAACAGAAAATGAGTGGAAGCTGAGGGTGTCATGACACCAAGATATGGTTAAGACTGGAGAGTTTACTGGGGTCCTGGACAGACACTAAAAAGTGGAGCTTGAAGCATTTTGATCTAGATGTCCCTCAGGTATTCCAAGAGCTATTCATCTATCCTCAACCTTAAAATTTTAACAGGTTCACTACGCACCATGAACACTTGAAGAACACAGGCTACATGGTGCTTCAGGAGATTTGCACTTCATTACTCAAAAAAGTTTTTCACTTTTTTTTTTTAAATTTCAGGTAGCAGATGTATTTTCAGAGCAGCAAGTTATTAGAACAATGGTATTTCCCTTTGCTTACTGCAGTAGTTAAATTGCACCAACATTAGGCTGTTTCTCTCAACAAGCTTGACCTTAAGAATGTCTCACTGGATGTTCAAGTTCTCTTTGACAACAAACAACTATTAGCTGCCATCCAGCACATTAGCCACTGGTCAGCACTCACCAGAACAGAGCCAACAAAAACTAAACTCTTCTTTCATCAATCCTTCCCCCACTAATAAACAAGGTTTAGAGGTTTTTGCTTGTTTGGCAGTTTTGATTCTTCTTAATGTAAAAGCTTGTTTTGAGTACAAATGATGGAGTCAAGCAGACAGCTTTGTACTAGAAACATTTTTTTATAACATCTTTGAGAAAAGCTTCCTATGCTATTACATATATTACATTACCTTCCTATGAATATTTCCTATATTCCCTTTAGATGGCAGCTGTAAAAACAAACCTAAACTTCCTCCTCAGTTCATTACCTTCAGGAATATCGATTCCTAGATGAGACCATGCTCACCATTCAATGAGCACTGCTGATTCCTACTAGTATCTCTGATACCTAGACTAGCTGTGAGAAAAGCAGAAACACAGTAGGAAGAATGGGAAGAGTAGGGGACAAGTGAGAAAAACAATAGGAGTAACAGGCAGTGAGGGCAGAGATACAAAACTACTTTGGAGCGTTATCACCTAAAATAAGCATCCGGGCATCCATGTTTGCCAGTGCTATTTTACGGATACAGAGCAGCACCCCTTAGGCTTAATCGTCAGACCAACAAAACAGAAAAAGGATTTCTCCAGGAGCAGCATGTACTGCAGATCACACAGAGAAATGCTACTATGAAACAGCAATGTGTGTCTATTACTTAACAACTTTTATTCTAAGAAAATTATTTTCAAGTTGGAAGCTTTAGAGCACTATTGGCAAAAGATATGGTTGTCAAATAATTGGTCACGCCTACCAAAAAAAGTGTGGTTAGAATACAAAGACAACATTAGAGTCACTTGTTCATGAAAGTCAAAACATACTGAATCATTGAAACAAAATTTCAGGTTTGTTAGCCTCTGGAAAAATAAATAACAAAACATTTATTTAAATAAGCAGGCCCCAACAACAAGCTTTTTATGGATGTTCTGCACATACTTACAAGTTGAGCAGACTAATAGTGCTCTTGTCACAAGCTCACTGAGTAACTTCCACTTCTGCTCCACTTTGGAGGTGATAGCTGGAATGAGAATCTCCGCAGGGACGTAGTACTGAATTGAATAGGTCACAAAAATTCCAAAGGAGTACAGAATTTTTACAGATTGATATAACCTATTGAAAACATTTACATATGTTCATGTAAGTTGCAAACTCTACATCAAAAAATTAGCTTGCTAACAGCATTAAGACTATATATATATATATAATGTATTAAAAAAATATCTGTTTTACCCCCCAGCTAACAACAAGATCACATTATCTGCTTGCAAGTAATAACTACCTATAAAATTGCAGAAAATAAGCCAACTACCAAAATATGGACCAAAAAAAAAATCTAATCGATTGAATAAGCATAAGAACAAGTTAAACAGCCAGAAGTTACTTGGGAAAAGAAAATTCCAAATTCACATCAAATGTATTCTGTACATTGATAAACCATTCACAGTGGCAGTTAACACGGGACATTTTAAAGTACAATGCTAACGTCCTCCAGATTTCTGCGTATTCACAAAGTGTTCCTAAAAAGGTTTTTCACACTGAGAAGAGGGTATCTCAGGAAATTTTATTTATTAAAATTGGAAGGAGTACTTTCTAAGGCTAGGAAATACCCATAACCAAATCTGCTCACTGTCCACACTCTCCTCTTCAAAACCGTTAGGTACAGAACACCATTAAATTACTGTGCCATGTCACAGTATTTCATAAGGTTTATAGCAACACAAAGGAATACCAAGTTCTACAGTTTCAAATTGTGCCAACCTTATGCCAGTGATAGATTGGCAGGATAGGTTACTAAGAAAAAGAAATTGGAAAAAGAACGTATGTACGAGTAGAAGAGAGTTCATTCTGATGCAGGAACATCTTTGCTAACATTCAGGACTAGAGCTGCTCTAACTAGACAAACATTTTAGGGATCAAGATAATTTTTGGTTTTTTAAGAGACTGTGTATTTTGTTGAAAAGTTATTTTAGGATGGTTTTAAATTCTGTGCCAGATAAAGACAAGCTGCGGTCTTGCAACAGTCCAAGCATTCAGTTACCTAAAAAGCAAAATTATCTCTATATGCAGACTGGTAAAAGGCACAAGCTACATTTTAAGAAGAGGGAAGAATTTCTGTTCTCATTCAGCTCTTTCCATTCTAATGTTATTCCACCCTGCATGTCATCAAAGTATAGATAAAAATGTTCACAAAATACAACATAGTGAACAGTTTCTTTATAACAATATAAAACTCAACTACATTTAACTTCTTTCTGCCTAAATTGGTTCAAAATACTCTTTACTATTCCAAAAATATTAACTGACTTCAGATCATCCAGCTTTATCTTTATGGATTGGGGTTTGTTTTTTTTCAGATCTGTGCAGACCAGAAAAACTTATCCTGTGAGTAAAGGAAAAGATTATTAGTAGATTATTAGTGTTTTTCAGGAAAAGAGTGTCATATGAAAGATGAAGACCAAAAAAAAAAAAAAAAAAAATCAAGGAAAAAGTTAAAAAGTTCACATCTACTGTCATATAACTATATATCAGTAAGAAATACAGCAAAAGCAGCTGTGAGGCTCAGGTATAAAATAAGGAAAATATTTTCTTTTAAAAATGCCTGAACTGGTTGTCAGCCTAACATTAATATAATTTTGGATGGACTCATGCACCTTGCTTCCTTACATGTGTTGGCATTGCCTTGCCAAATTTTAGATAATACCTGTTTTCCCCCAAGATAGGTAGTTTTTTTAGATATCATGCTCATATCTCACTTATCCTAGTGCAGTGAAATCCATTGCCATATGGTTGTAGCATTATTGGTTTTTCCTTCATGATCAGTCTGAAGGTTTTCCTACATCTCCAGCTTTTTGAAAACAAAAAATCTGCAGATCGCAGATCTACTCCAAAGAGAAGGTCTCAGAGAAATTCGTTTTGAGACTTTTTGTTAAGTTCTCAAAAAAACTAGAGTAGATCTTCCAAAAAACTTTAAGTGTGGACACTCTTATCACTGTTACTTATGGCTGAATAAACAAGTGACAAAATATTATCCATGCCACCAACAGTTTAAAATTTAGATGCATTTTTAATCCATGCTGCATAAACTACAAGCATTTGTCACAGGTCTGCTTACAGCCAACAGGGGGAAGTTATGAGTCTCTTGGTATGTTTTTCTTTCTAAGAATGCAACTAAGACAACAATCAAAGCTTTTAGGTAGAATTTTGGTTCATTTGCTATGGGGTGTTATTATGTGTTCACAAATGAGGGAGGAAATATTTCTTCTCATAAACAACCTGTGCTAGCAGAAGATGATGCCAAGCAGACCAAATCACTCAATACCTTTTTTTGCTTCAGTCCTGAAAAAGAGGTTTAACTGCAACCAGAACGCAAAAGCATCTTGCAACAGTAAGAAAAGAAAAAA